ATTTTCACAAAAAAAAAAAAAAAATAGTCCTCCAAGGTCAAGGAGGGAGAGTGTGGACATGTCATGGGATTGTTAACCAATGTCAAAATAATACGTGTACTGACTGTTTAATGAGAAACTATTTGTTCTGTAAACCTTCATCTAAAGTATAATAATAGAAAAGTAAAAAAAAAAATTAAGGTGTTATAAAGAATTTTCAGATAAATGAAAGCTGAGAAAATTTGCTACAGGAGGACCTGTACTACAAAAAATAAAAATAAAAATAAAAAGCTAAAGAATTGAGGGGAAACATAATACAGGGAGAATAACATTAAAAAGAAATGAAGAGCATTGGTTTTGAAAAAAATACCTAGGTAAATAAAAAAAGATCACTTTTATTTCTTTTTTATATTCTTAGAAAGCAAAATTAATAATTTATTGGGGTTATAGCATATGTAGAAGTAAGATACACAAACACACTAGCACAATAAACATACAGTGGTATAAATGGAATTATATTTTTGAAAGATTTATATACTGTGTGAAGTGGTATAATATTAATTAAAGGAGTGCTCGATTAACCTAAAAGAAGACAGCTGTCATGTACCGAATTATGTCCCCCAAAAATATGTGTAAACTTGGTTAGGCCATGATTCTCAGTATTGTGTGGTTGTCCTCCATTTTGTGATTGTTATTTTATGTTAAAGAGGATTAGGGTGGGATTGTAACAGCCTTACTAAGGTCACGTCCCTGATCCAATGTAAAGGGAGTTTCCCTGGGCTATGGCTTGCACCTACAAGAGATAAAAGGGAAGGGAACCGAGCAGAGAGTGGGGAACCTCACAGCACCAAGAAAGAAGCACTGGGAGCAGAGTGCGTCCTTTAGACTCAGGTTTCCTGCACGGAGAAGCTCCACACAGGGAAGAGTGATGAGAAGGACCTTCCTCTAGAGCCAACAGAGAGAGAAAGCCTTCCCCTGGACACCCTGAATTTGGACTTCTAGCCTACCAGACTGTAAGAAAATAAATTTCTCTTTGGTAAAGCCATCCACTTGTAGTATTTCTGTTATAGCAGCACTAGATGACTGAGACAGCAGCAAAAGAAGAAAACAGGAACAAAGAACAAAGAGGACAAGGAGAAGCCAAATAACAAGAGGGTAGAATTAAATTGAATCATGTCAATAACTACACTGAATGTAAGCTGGCTAAACACTCCAATGAAAAGGTTAAGATGTCAGACCAGAGGAAAAAAGCAAAAATCAATTACACGTTTACAAGAGATACACTTTAAGTAAAAGAGCTTCAAAAAACATGATGCAGAAAATAGTCAAACAAAAGGGATAAACAGACACACCCACAGTCATACTGGAAGATTGTAATAGGACTCTGCCAGTAACTGGTAATCAGAAATATAAAAATAAAAACTTAGCCCTTGGAATGTTCCCCACGTTGATAGATAAGGCTGTTTTTTACACCTGAAGCACTTCACCATGCCGTATGAGCTTGTCTAGGTTGTTTATGTAAGTGAAGTGATTTATGGCAGCACCTCCTTTCCTTCTGGAGGTTCTGGAGATTCCGTAATCATGGCTGGTCACACAAGTGGAACATACTTGTGTGACCAGGCCTCAATGAAAGCCTTGGATACCCAGAGTCGATGCGGGCTTCTCTTCCCTGGGCAGAAATGCCTCACTGTAAGGCTGCAACTCACTGCTGGAAGAAGAAGCATGTCCCGAGGGAAGCCTTCCCATGGGGGAAGCTTGCTCCGGCCCCTCCATTATTCCTGCTGTGTCTTTTCCCTACTGATCCTGCCGTGTATCCTTTTGCTGTAATAAACCACAGCCGTGAGCATAACAGACTGAGTCCTTCTAGTGAATCTTTCACTATGTGGGTGGCATGGGACACCGAAAACAGAGAGTTTGGGTCTAAGCTGATTACAAAATACTAAATTGACCATGTCAGCCAACATTAAAGAATGGAAGACCTGCCAAGTGCCTGTCCTGTGCCCAACCCCGATAAAATCCAAAAGTGTGGCAGAGGGCCTTCGCCATCAGACTTGAAAAGATTTTAAAGATGAGACAAACCCTTCTCCCAACCCCTCCGCAGATGCTAGCCCTAGCCCATTATTCATTAAAACAAAACAAAACAAAAAAACTAATTGTATTTTTAAGTTGGACTCTGCATAGTCCACAACTATACAGCTACAAAGACTATAAAATTGTGTTGCTGCGAAATGAAGTACAGCTGGTATTTATGAGTGCTCTCAAATGAGATGGCTGTTTCTGAATATGAGATTCACTTGTGATATCATGTTTTGGTAAACTGAAGCTAAGATCTGTTATGTCCTCCCAAAACATAAAGGCAGTTTCCATCTCTACTAACACAGGAATGGTTTCCATTCCTCCCCAAAATATCTCAACACTTTGGTTTGTCCTGCTAACACATCTGCCACTTCCATCTTGGCTAACAGGCTGGAAATTTAATTTACACACTGACTTGTAAAGCACTGTGATGCTGTGATAAAGACATAAGAAGGGAAGGGACTGAATGGCCCATTTCTGAGATGTACCATCATGATGTAACAAGCCTGGAGAACCACGGAGAGGGGGTGTGGGGCAAGCTAAGGATACATCTCTTTCCTGGCCTGTTGTTGGTTGCCTAGTCTCTTGGGATGGGCATGACCCAATGCCACCCTCACTGAGGACAATGCAGGTGCCCACTGTACACACCCATTCACCAGAGATACAGGGTTACAGGAGGGCCCGGAACTGACAGCATCCACCAGTGAGGTGCTGACCCCAGTCCTGTGACTGTGAAGTAGCTGAAGAACCACAGGGCCCACTAGTAATGCTCGTGGTCGTCATTAATTACAGCTGAGAGCCACTAGATTCTGTGCAGGATTTGTATGTCTGGCACAAGATTTAGGCCTTTAATATTTTGGCAAAAAATAAAAGCATTAAAAAGTTCTTAGGCAGTAAATACGCACAAACCATACTTCCCTGTAGTTTATGCACTTTCTTCTAAAATGTGTTTGAGTGCAGTGAGGTTAAGTACTAACTGATAAAACAAGCCAAAACAACAACCAACAATGCCTTTACCCAGACCATCTGCATTGTAATAAGGAAAAATAAAAGGCAGGAGTACTAAAAAAGACACGAGAAGAGAATCAGTAAGAAATAAACACGCGTGTGGGTGGGGTGTGGAGGCAAAGAGGAAGACAGCACCTAAATACTCACCAAGAAGAGGGAGACAGAGGTGACATGGATGTGGAGAAGAAAAGTACAGTAGTGTTTATTATTCTGTGATGAAATTAAGGGTGGAAACAAAAAATCAGCTAAATTAAAGAGGGAAAGTCAAGAAACACTGCCAAGGATTATGACTCACGATAAAGACAGACAGCAAAAGCAGAAAACAAATATGGGAAGGTACCACCCTGGGGGACCAGCACGTGGGCACCGCCGGGCCAACAGCATTTGCTGATTCTCTGAAGCAAGATATTCCCAGAGCTCTCTTTTTTAAATTGGATTAGTTCTTTCTCTAAAGACTAGCCAAACGGGAAAACTGACATGCTGCGATGGTCCTGCAGGAGGGCTGCAGTCGTGTTCCTGGGGACACCAGGCAGGAAACGCACCTGCATCTGGAGGCCAGTTTGGACAGGGATGCCAACACCCTGTGCTGTCCCAGCCCAGGCAGAACTGAAGCCGGCACTGAGGTCAGATGGGGGCTTTGTAAAAACTAACTATAAGAACTATGTAAACTCATCATAAATGCAGTTCAGACAAAGAAGTCAGTTTCCCAGACTTAGCCCTCCAGAGATAGCCACTGTTTAACCTTCTGACATTCTTTTCTCCAAATGTACACAGAGAAAAGTTTTGTTGTTCTTGTTATTGTTCTTGTAATTAGCATCATTCTGTTTGAGTTCAGTTTTTTTAAGGTAATAAAATATAGACCTCATACCCTATCAGTAAGATCCACATCACCGTTCTTAATGATCACATTGCATCCCATTTTACAACAAATCATTCTAATGTTATTGGTGGCCAGTGAGGTGGATTCAATATTTTCTACAACAATGTTGTATGGGTCACCCTGTAACATACCTTACTTTGTACCTGGTCTCATGATTTCCTTACAAGTCAGTTTTCTAGAGGTGACGACATTTAACTATGGACAGACATTGGCATATTGCCCCCAGAATCACAAGACCTAATGTACATTGCCTGCCAGCAGCCCTGAAGAGAATTCCACCCTTCTACAAAGGAAGCGGGCACGTCAACCCTTCCAACTCAATGGCCAAAAATCCACCTCCGACTGCTGTGAGATACTCTGCTTCCATTTTGGTATGGGTGGAGATCTGTTTTTACCTTTTGACTCTACCATTTTTATGAAGTATTTGCTCATCTTGTCTCTTTTTTACCACACAAATGTCTTCCTTATTAAATTGTGCAGTGCTTAGTCCTTAAAAACATTCTTAATTGTTGAAAATCCAACCTCCCCCAATTTGGACATTTGCCTTACGTGGTTGGTGGGGGTCTGTCTGCTTGCCACATTTCTGGAAGTCAAGTCCTTTCTGCCCTTCCCCTTCCCACCTTAGCTCTTTGCTTCTCAGGTCCCACCTGGGCAGCACTCTCTAATGCCCCTGTGTACCCTTTCCACATACCTCCTGGAAACCCTCCCTCAATCTCAAACTGATTTCAGTGCCAGGACGAGGTCAGGACCCCATGCTGACCTCATCCAATGGCTAGGCAGCTGACTCAACACTACACTATGTAGAGGAAATTCCAGATAAGGGCTTCAGAGCTGGGTTTTTTTTTTCTTGGTTGGCTGGTTAGTGTATATTTTAGATTATCGCTACTTCTTAGGAAGGTGATAATACAGCAGAAGAAAAAAATAACATTTTATACATAGCATGTTTTCAATTTTTACCTTGTGAATTAAAATCATTGCAACTAAAGTGATTTAAAATAAACCTTAAAGTATGCTTCATTATGAACTTAAAAATCATTACAAACCAAAAATAACCTACCTTTGATCCGTGCAAATACTGGGGTTGTGCATTAGGCTGTTTATCTCTTTGAAATTCCTGAGAAAATGGTAATACTGTTCGAACAAACCTAGAAGAGAAAAATTTAAAAAACTACATATTTCATTTAGTCCTTAAAAATTCAGAACTTTTTTGTTACCGATTTATATAAATCCTCCTCCCAGTTAACTGATAACAATCACCAAGTAGGAAAATTCTGGGAAACAGGATTAATCAGTATAAATACTCTGAAATATAATAAAGGTATCCCTTGTAATCCAAAGCTCAGGAAGCAAACAGCCAGATCACTCAGCATCCTTCCACAAGTCAACTCTCACTCTCAGGAAGGGAGCGTCAGAAACGCGAGCCTATTTGGCCTACTGGCACTAGAACCATTTCACACTTCATTCAATCCTTGGTAATGAACAATGAATGTTGCACTCCCTGATCTTGCTGTGCTTCTGGTTACTGAAATTACTAGTTATGTGTTAACAAGAAAAAATCAGCCAACTTAAGCATTTATAACCCCACTCATTTAGGTAAGAGACAGTGTCTTGATAATGCATGTGTTGTTGTTGTTAGCTGCCCTTGAGTTGCTCCAGACTCATGGTGACCCCATGCACAATGGGATCGGACTGTCTGATCCACAGAGGTTTTACTGACTGATGTTTCAGTAGCAGATATCTAGGGGAAATCCTGGTGGTGTATGGTTAAGAGCTACGGCTGCTAACCAAAAGATCAGCAGTTCGAATCCACCAGCTGCTCCTTGGAAACTCTATGGGGCAGTTCTACGCTGTCTTACAGGGTCGCTATGAGTCGGAATCAACTCGACGGCAACGGGTTTAGATCTTCGGGTCTTTCCTCCTCGTCTGCCTTAGTGTAGAAGCTCCACTGAAACCTGTTCAGCATCACAGCAACGCAAGCCTCCACTGACCAACGGGTGGTCGCTGCGCAGGAGGTGCACTGGCTGGAAACTGAACCTGGGTCTCCCTCCTGGAAGGTGAGGATTCCACCACTGAACCACCACTACCCCTGGAAATGAATTAGGAGCCACTGAAATCAAAGATTTGTCTTTTAAAACAGAAATGTCAAGTTCAGCTAACATATTTCAAATAATTTAAACATATAAAACTTTTGCAAAGAAAAATACATGAGTTTGCTCATTACTTAATTCTAATAACTTGATTAGCATAGATTACACTTTAATGCGTACGAACAGGCATAACTGTCAGAACATCCTAGCACGCTGAATGAAATGTGCATGGTATGAGGGCCACATGGGCTCTTTAGCAGACAGTATACGAGGGCAGGCACACAGCACAGGCCCTGCCCTGTGGCAAGTCCATCCTCCCTGCCCCAGTACTGCTGTTGGATCTCACATCCAACATGGGCTACCAGGTGTCAAGAATGAAAATTACCCTAATTAGTGCCCCAAGAGAAAACTGCGCACTTCCCTCTGTGTGTGTGTGTGTGATTTTTCAAAAGAATCCTGGATTACTGTGTGGTCAGTCTGCCAATATCCCCGATGTGGCACAATGTTCTCGGCGTGTCTGCACATGTGTACGCATGCTTGTGTTTTCATCTTCCTGTTCCATGAAGAGCGCTGGGCACTGGACCAATGCCAGTGCAATGTTCAGAAGAGGGACCCTGCTCCCCAGCGAGTGACCGCACTGCTCACTCTGGGGGGACTGCACCCTGCTGCTATCACACCTGTAAAGCAACTGCAACACATCAACCTCCATCCATCTCTGGGGGGAGGGGGAGAGCAAATATGTGAAAATCGGAGCACATATCAACTAGACGGTGTCTGATCAATTTGAAGGGAGTCAGACACCAAAGTGAGACACATTACTCATATTATCCACCACCTGTCTGTCAGTTTGTCTTACTGTGGTGGCTTGTGTGTTGCTGTGATGCTAGAAGCTATGCCACCAGTATTTCAAATACCAGCAGGGACACCCATGGTGGACAGGTTTTAGCAGAGCTTCCAGACTAAGACAGACTAGGAAAAAAGGCCTAAGCTAGCTACTTCCGAAAATTAGCCAATGAAAACCCTATGGATCACAACAGAATACTGTTCATACAATGCCGGAAGATGAGCCTCATAGGTTGGAAGGCACTCAAAATACACAGTGGCCACAACAATGGACTCCAGCAAACCAACGATTGTGAAGATGATGCAGGGTTAGGCAGGATTTTGATCTGCTCTACACGAGGTCGCCGTAAGTAGGAGCCGACTATCAACTATCAACAACTACACTGATAAACGTTTTTCTAAATCTGCACAGAACAGAATGTTTTCACTAAGTATGCCTTAATCCTTTGGTAATTAGCTGAGATACAAAACTATGATCTAGCTGAGATACAAACTATTTCAACGTAATGTAATTACTCCCTATAATGTTACTGATCAAAGTAATACCTACATATAAACTAAAAAATCAAATGGCATATTACAAAACTTCTAAAGAAAAGTTGTCATTCTCCTGCCTACCTTTCTCCACCCCTCCACAACCGCTATTAACCATTTCTTCTGGTATTTACTTCCATATTTCTAAATAATATCCTCTACAACTTTCTCTTGACTAAATTTAGATATGAGTCAGAATCGACTCAACAGCAATGGGTTTGGTTTTTTGGGAAGAGGAAAAGTTAGGGTTCGGCACCAGCACTGGAAGCCCCCACTTCACTTTCCAGGTAAATCGAGACTCAGTTTTCAGCTTATGACAATCCTGACAAGACAGCTCCCTGCTGGAGGGATAGTGTTGAATTCTCCTTTTTTGTCTGCTTTTTTGTCCTACATCACTATAACTGTTAATTTCCAAATTCTAAAACATGATCTTTAAAAAATACTTTCCTTTACCCGAGAGTATGGCCCCCAGACACCCTTTTAGCTCAGTGGTGAAGTTATCTCCGAGGTTCACCGTTCAGCCTGGGAGTGGACAGCCCCGTAAAACCAAATGAGACAATGAGGTACGGGAGTCCAGTGACAAGGGCCAGAAGGCAGAAGGGGACAAGGAAGCTGGTGATAGGGAACCCAAGGTTGAGTAAGGATATTGTTGATGTGTTGTGAGATTGTTAACCATTGTCATAGGGCAACATGTGTAGTAACTGTTAAATGAGAAACTATTTTGTTCTGTAAGCCTTCATCTTAAGTGAGAATAGCAGCACAATTGGAAGAGCGTAGTCAATGTCACTGAACTGTGCATGTAGAAATTTTTGAAATGGTGTATCTTTGGCTATGTGTATTTTCACCAAAAAGAAGGCTGAGAAGTTAGAGGGTTGACATGTTGTGGGGTTGTTAACCAGTGTCATAAAATGATGTGTGTACTACTGTTTCATGACAAACTATTTGTTCTGTAAGCCTTCAGCTGAATAAAAAAAAAAAAACTTTCCTTTAAAAATCAACTTTAAGCTGTGATTTACATGCAATAAAATGCATCCATTCTTCACATACACTTGGATGAGTTCAGACACATGTATGCCTCTGTGTACGCACCACCATCAAGACAACATTTCCATCACTGGAGAAAGTCCCTTCCTGCCCTTTTGCGGTCAACTCCCACCCCTACCTCCAAGCAGCCTCTGATCTTCTGCACCACTATCCGTTAGTTTTGCTTGCTCTGAATTTTTATATGATAGAACTATACAGTACGTACTTCTTTGTGTCTAGCCTCTTTCATTCAATGTTTCTGAGATTCATCCACATTCTTACATACATCAGTAATTTGTTTCTTTTTATTGATGTGAGTAATACTCCATTGCAGTTTGTTTATCCATACTCCTGTTGATAGTCATTTAAGGTATGGCCATTATGGATAAAGCTGCTATGAACACTCATATCTAAGTCTTTTTATAGACATATTTTCATTTCTCTTGGGTGGATCTGCCAGGTCATATGCTGGTTTTTTTTTTTTTAAATAAAAAAACTACCAAATATTTCCCTAAGGTTGCAGCATTTTATGCTTCTCATCAGGAATGTATGAGAGTTCCCATTGTTCACATTCTTGCAACACTTGGTATTATCAGTCTAATGTTAGCCATTCTAGTCTGAACTCACCCAGAGGCGCCTTAGAAGACAGGGCCTGGGAATCTAATTGTGAAAGTCACAGCCTTGAAAACCCTTTGGAGCATTTCTACTCCGCACACATGGGGTCGCCATGAGTCGGGATTGACTCGACAGCAACTAACAACAACGACAATGAATGTGTGATGACGTCTTATCACAGGCTTAATTTGCATTTCCCTAACAACTACTGATGTTGAACAACTTTTAACTTGCATACAGGCCACTTATAAATCTTCTTTTGTGAAGTCTCTATTCAAATCTTTTGTCCATTTTAAAAATGAGGCTGTCTTCTTGTTATTGAATCACAAGAGTTCTTTGTATATGCCAGATACAAGTCCTCTGTTTCAGATGTATATATTGTGAATATTTTCTCCTAATCTGTGGCTAGCCTTTTCATTTTCTGAATATTTCAAAGAGTAGACATTTTCAATTTTGTACAAGTCTAATTTATTATTTTCTTCTATGATCAGTAATTTTTGTGACCTGAGAAATCTCTGCCAGACCCCAATTCATGAAGATGTTCTTCCGTGTATTCTTCTAAAAGATTTACAGTTTCAGCATTTACTTCATGCATTCATGATGTATTTCCAGCTGAGTTTTGTGTATGGTGTGAGGTACCTACCAAAGTTTATTTATTTTTCCGTAGAGACAGCCAGATGTTCCAACATAATTTACTGAAATGACTTTTCTTTCCTCATTAAATTACCTTGCCACCTTTGTCAAATAATAATTAGCCATTTACATGTTGGGCCAATTCTGGACTCTTATTCTGTCCCACTGAACTCTATGTCTATACGTTCTGTTTTCTTTTCCACCTTCCTGCCTCCCTTTGAATTACCTCAGTATCTTTAGTGGTCCTTTCCAGCTCGTCTATTGGTTTTATTCCTTTTTATCTCATCTATTGGCATATTACCTGTTTGTTCCGTCTTTCACTTCTGTCTTACTTTTTTTTTAATTGTACAAAAATACATATAACATTTGCCATTTTAACCATTTTTAAGTGTACAACCAGTGACAGTAAG